ATTAAGAAAGAAAAAATGACATATGAGTTGAGTTGATTGAAGCCAATGATCACAATCTGGGTGTCAAATAAGACAAATGGTCTCTCACCAGCACAGAAAACTTTAAAATAAACTAAAGCTCTGAGTCTCTCACAGAGTTTGATACATATTCTGGGGCTATTATACTGATTAAGTAGGATTTGGATCTTAAACATGGCCTCCACATGCAATAAGACCATTAATATATATTTGACTAATTACAAAATGATATTGAAGCCATTTGTGGTTCATTTTATTAATAATTCCAATTAAATATGTTATTTTTACCGGTGACTAGTTGAGTTGCATGTGCATAGGGATGCAAGTATCCGATTTAAAGAATTTACATGCATTAGGCCTGGGCTTTTAAATTGGGTTCGTTCATTTTTTTTTTTTTAAATCTCAGCCTGGATCTGCCCAAATTGCAACGACCCATAAACGAAATTATTCTGCCCATGGCCACTTAACCCAGTCTTGCCCAAAAATCCAATATTATCATCTCTCATTCACACACTCAACCCAGTCCCAATACAAACAACCAAAAACAAAAAAGAAAAGACAAGCCAGGCTTAAAATCTAGTCCACAAAGTAGGAAAAACAAGTTGATTAATTTTGGATGATCATGGATTTGAGTTTTTTTGGGAAACATTTATTCAAGTAAGTGTACTTATCCATATTCTTTTATTTCCTAAGTAAATAAGGTAATGGTTTTTTTAGTCATAGATATTCATTATTACAAGGGTCATTTTTGCCCCATCCAAGTATTGGCAATTTTTTGCTAGGTGGAAAAGTCATATACCCATCACTTATTGGGTAAGTAATTCCCAAAAAAACACGAGTTTTTCGGTTAATCTCATTGACTAAAGCCTTCAGCATGGAAGATACTCTTATCGGAGACCCCTTTCAGGTGTTCACGGACATCAAATTCAAGCTTCCAATGGAGAGGTACAAGGAACACAATATAGTAGTCCACGGGTGGACGGACTTGATCTACGATAAAAGATGCTAGACGAGCCTGAACGCAGGCATGTTCCTCATCTGAAACTATGATTGGTCGATGGAGTTTATGGACACCTGGGCAAAAATTGGGCCGCAAACACCGAATGCAGCCGTATATCGGAATCGTAGCAACCAGAGTTCTTCCAGCATACCTTGTAAACAGTGAATCGAGCCTTGGAAAATACACCTTTCACAATTCCATACGCACACCCGGTCATGCTTGCCTTGAATGTGTCTACCTACAATAATCGAAGTCGTGTGAGTTCCATGACCATTTGCATGCATCCTTCAGAGGTTGAAACTCAACAATTTCGTTGGTCCCTTCCATTCTATCGAATCTCCCCGTCGCTTCATGGCCTTTAGAGAAAAACCTAGCTCCGATGAGCTTCCGGTTACAATGAGCAAAGCTGAATTGAACTCCAATCTCATAGACACCTTTCCATCGAGTCGAAACAGAGCCAAAATTCAGATCGGAGAAGCTCCACCGCTTAGGCCAGATTCCAGTTATAACATTGGAACTTTAAATTAGATTCCGACTACATGCCCTGCAGTCAAAGCTGTTAGGGTTTGAAGAGGAAGATTGAAGAGCGATAAGAGGAAGAAAAAGAGAATAGACATGGGGAAGAGAGTGGTAGCCATCGGAGACATGAAAACTAAAAACTGAAAAAAAGTAATGTCTCTAAGAAAGAGCAGAGACTAAAGACTAGTAGTGGGGGAAGTGGAATCCACACTTAGCAAGCGAGTTGTTTACTTTGTTACAACACTTGTCTAATCCCTAGAACCAAGGCAACCACAGCCGATCCTCAGAAAGTAGGGAAAGAGATGGCCCCTTCCGCCGTCAACTGCTTCTCGTCTCCCCCTTGGGCAACCCTGGTTGGTTCCTACTCGCTCAAGTACGACGTCGAACAACCACCTATTCTGTTCGACGACTCAAGTTCCAACAAGGTGGTCGGGCCATTGACAGAGAAGATGCTCCATTTGAATCACCCGAATGTCATTGCTTCCATGACCCTTGCTGTCTCCGATGTCGCGCAAGCCTAACCTATCCTCTAACAACAACATCCTTTTACTCTTTATTTGAGGGAATATAGGATTATGCAAAGGACGATGAACACTGTGAAGGGGAAGGTAGTGGAGGGAAGAATTATTGGAAACAAAACATTTACGTTTAACAGGAGGAGAAGAGTGGCTCCGATGGTGTTGGAGGGTATTTTAAGAATTTTAAAAAATATAACAATTATTGATAGTGCACGGTCCGATCACTCCTAGCTGGTGGTTGCGTGGCTCCTGAATGATATCTGAGATAGAGAAGATGAGGAATTTCCGGGGAACTTGCTCGACGGGAACACTCCGACGCTTAAATTAGAGCTCTGTGAAAAAATGCAAAGAGAGTAAAGGAGGCTAAGAGTGTAGATAGCGCGAGTATCAAAAGATTACCCCTACCCTTTGGGATTGGGGCTACTTATAATAGAACTCTATCAAATCAGGCCCACCTGCCTCTGTCAGGGCAGATATAACCGCCACTGTCGTCCTGCCATAGCTGTTACAGACAGGGCTGAGGTGGCACGTGCGGGGCCGTCGTTGTAGGGTACGTACTTGTCAGATGTAAAACATCTTCCAGAGGTGGCGGGCACAACACCGTCTGACAAAAGACGTGGCCACAGTCTCCAGGTTTGTCAAGTACAATTGTCAGGCAGGAGATCTTCCTGCAATATGCCGAACTGCTCTTCCGCGAGCTACCCTGTACCGAGCTACCCTATAAGTGGCGAGCTACACCGAGCTGTCTGTAAGTGGCAAGCTGCTTGTAGCAAGTTCTGTCGAGCTGCTTGACCCGAAATGTCTCTACCTCGGGGTGTCTAGAGGCGGATCGGGGTGTTCCTTTTTTGGAGTGGCCTAAAACCCACTGGGAGGAGCTTGGGCATTAGGAAAAGTCAGGGGGCCCCGAGCTCGGAGCGCCCCAGCCTTGGGAAGAGGGTGCAAGCCAAACGACTCTCGGCGAGTAGCCTAACCCGTCGAGTTGCCAGATTAAACTCAGTGAACCCTTCCCACCAAGTTGCGGTTACGCTTGCTGTACTGTCACGCTGAGTCATTGCTTAAGCAAGTTTACACCCACGTGTCCCCGTGCTATGAAGTTAGGCCAAATCACCCTCCATCAGTTATGTAATGTTACATATAAATGAAACGGTAAGAGAGATTTTAAACAATTTTCAGAAAAATTAAGAAGACTTTAAGATAGTACATAAATAGAATTAGCCAATTTCCAATTTCCAAATCCCCAATCCCAATCCCAGGTAAAAATGGATTTTAATCTCAAATCCTCACTATAACGAACCAGAGATCTTATTATTAAACGACTTGGAACCTTCACAAACCCAACCACTTATAATCCACCTATTTGCTTAGCCCATTAGATGGGTTTAAATGGCTAGGAATGGATATCCATGGGCCACTAAGAAATGGATCTTGAGTTTTAGAAATTAAAGTGGGATTTATTTCTGCAAGTTGAAAAATGATCATGTATAAAGATTGGCATATATACAACAAAAGAACTATTTTAGACTGAAGTGTAGATACAACGTGATTAACGTACCAAAACCGACATTAGGACACCCTTCCGAAATGCCATTGCTTTTACATAAATAACTTCTCATGAGATTAAAGCCTAAGCTTTATAAGATGATTCAGAGTAAAAAGTCAAAACCCAAACCCGGACATACTCGCTCTTGGAAACGTCGTACCGCAATTTTTTTTTTTAATTTTATTTTATTTTTGACTTGTGTTATCAATCCAATAGCTCTATTACCCATCTATACTGGTACAATAGTAATAAAAATCTCTATCAATTTGTAACTCTATATATGGTATTAAAACCCCTTCTACTCAGTTCTTTACGGAGCTCAATCCAAGACAACCCCCTGTTAAAGGCGTTTGAATACTCATCCGTCAGAGGCTTCTAATGTAAAATGCTTACCTGTTATATACGACGGAGTGTCAATAAGCATAGTCAAATTGTCAGTGATTTTATAAATAGTAGGGGTGATCATGGGCTGGGCTTTGCATTTATGATAATGGTTATAGTTTAGGCCTAGGCCCAATTCGGTCTGGCCTGAGGTTTCGGGTTTGAAACATAAGTCCTAGTTTAAGTCTATACGGACTCGAATCGGATTGGGCCTGATTTTGGATTAATATCTTTCATATATAAAATGTTATAATATTTTATATTAAATGACATAATATGTATATAAACTTATTTTATACATTATATAATATAAAATATTATATATGATATAAATTATACATGTCATGTTATAATATTTATATATAAAGTATATAATATAATGTAAAATAACATGTATACATTATATACAAAATGAATAAATTTAAATATATGTGGGTCAGCCTGAGCCCGGACTGGGCTCGAAATATTAAACCCAAGCCCGACCCTAAAATTTCCGGGTTTGATATAGGCCCCCTAGACCATTGAGAATTTAAATGTACATCAATTTTCATCGATGAGAACGGATGTAAATGTACATCGATTTTCATCGATTAACAATGTAAAAGTCATCCAAAAAATAGGATTGCATCAATTTTCAATATAACTTTTACATGAGAAACACTGGTGTAATTTACACCTGTGTAAATGCAAAAATAAACTGGATATAGAGTTTTACACTAGAAACAAACAGCTGTAAATGCAAAATCTACTATTGCGTTTTACCTCAATCAAACCAAACGCAGCCTAAAACAAATCCTACTACCTGCATGACGGTCCGGCAGCAATTTCGAGGTGGAGGCGCCTTAATTATTTCAAAGACGGTTTAAATGATTGAGACCGGACTAGACCACTCAGTCAACGGAAACCCGACCGGATGCAGAACGGTTCTGTGATCAGGCGCTAACCCAAACATGGAAGATGGAACACGTGCGAAGGCGGAAGTCGTGCAAGAGATTCTTCTGGGACCGGCCACTAGTCTTTAATGGCGTTTGGCGTTTCGTCGTCTGAAGTTAAGATTGAGACTTGAGAGATCTTTGGAGTGGGGCTTCTTTCGAACAGCCAGCGGGTCTTCAATGTCTTCTCCTGCAGAGTAAACCTTATTTATCTCTGTCTTTTCTTTCCTCAATTCCAGATTCATATTATTCTTTTTGCTGTTTCTATCTATTGGTCTCATTTATGTAACAAGTGTTAGAACTTTGAGCTTCCTATAATTGGTACTCGATTCTGAACTCCAGAGCCCTAGAATAATTCTTTTAAAAAAATTATCTTCTTTTTTTCCTTTTTTGGGGATTCAAACTGAAGTTCCGTTTGAATGAGCTTGATGTGTTCTATTTCGAAGGTGAATCTTCTGCATTTCATTTCTGAGCTTCCATTTTTTTCTCTATGGTTATTTGTTCAGAAATACTTGAAAACTCTATGCAATGGTCTTTATGTGTCTGTTGTATAAATTTTTTGGGGGGGACAGTAGCTATCAACTTCTTTTTCGATGAGATGATTTTCCTTTGGTTAAGAATTGATTAGCGCTGCTTGGGTTTCTAGAAACTTTCTATCGATGGATACTGCAAAACGTTTCTTGGATTATTGCAGCGGGTGAAGTGCCAAGTGAACAAGTGTCAAATCTAAGTTGATTCTCATATTGTTTGTAGTGACAAGATTGAGGATCAATTTACATAGAAATGAGCTTACTGCAGTGGGTGAAGTGCGAAATCTGGTTTTATTGGCTGATGAGTTGGGATGCAAATTGGGGAGCCTGCCAACTAGATATTTTGAGCTACCATTGGGAGCGAGATGTACATCAAAAGCAATTTGGGATCCAATGGTTGATGGATGGATAGAAAGCTGGAAAGATAGAAAACAAAGTACTTATCAAAAGGGGGAAATTAGTCTTGATAAGAAATGTGTTATCATGCTTACCAATATACATGTTATCCCTATTTCCAATCCTTTTTTTTTTTTTTTTTGGTGAAAAACTTAGCTTCATTCGAATTAGTGGGAAACTGAAGACATGGGGCACCAGGACTCATTTTGAAAATCAGACTGAGACCCATGCGCCACCAGGTTGCAGACATGGGGCTTAAACTGAAACTTGAATATATGATATCGGGGAAAGATGAAGACAAATTTAGGATGTCCTTTAAGATTGACCCATGCAGAGAGTGCTGAAACTTTTCTGTATCCAGTAATTCATGAACAACAGTTGCAGGATCTGCCTTGACTATAGGGTTCTGAATTCTGTAATTTGAAGCCAAGGCCAGGCCTAATCTGATAGTGTGGGCTTCTGCGGCTTGGACTGATGAGCACCACACTGATCTCATACAAGCAGTCACAGGCTTTTCATTGGAATCTCTAATCACAGCCCAAAGCTCAGCTTTAAGGTTGCCAGACCTGGAAGCTGCATCAGTGTTGAGCTTGTGCCATAATTCCGGAGGATGCTGTCAACACCTTGAGAGATAATGAGGCTCCAAATGAGCTTGAAGCCTTGAACCACTTGCTGGATACTTTGACACCACCAGTTCCAGTCCTTTCTGATTTGGGATAGTATTTGGATTGGAGAAAGGTCTTTTCTAGAGAAGACCAGGTTATTCCTTGCCACCCACAAATGGCAGCAAGTTAAGGCCATAATACACCGGGCTTGACTGAAATTTCATCCTTCTTGTTACCTACCCAATTGAGGGTCCAACCCTGGTAAGAATCAAACTGGTCGGTCTAGGCAGGAATCCTCAGAGTGATGCCTCTTCTCCTAAGATTTTTTTTTTTTCAACAATACTCTTATGACAGCTCACCAAATCAGATTCCTGACCTTTGGGGGAGCATCAATCTTCCGAACTCCTTTACACAGTTGATTAGGGGCCGGCCTGTCTTGCCAGATGAACTTGGTTCTCTTCATCTTTCATTGTCTTGGTGTGCTGATTTGGCTGTAACTTCTCCTGTTTTGTCTAGGAATCAGATCAAAAAGTTTGGGTGCTCTGCCCAACTGATAGGGACACTCTGGATAGCTCTTGCTTCAACAGTGTTAAAATATGACTGTACCATTAATAAATTCCATCTCTGAGTTCCTGGATACATAAGATTTTGGACCTTCTCAAACTGCTAGTTCACAGTGCGAGGAGCGGCTATCGAGGAATTGGGGGTGGATTCGAGCCGAGCCGAGCCGAGCTGAGCTGAATACTTGGATACTCGAGCTCAGCTCAAGCTTGATTCGAGTTAGAGACCTGAGCTCGAGCTCGGCTCAGTTCATAGCTCGCAAGTTCGAGCTTGACTATAGGACAAGTTTTTTTTTGAAAAATAAAAATTATATGTATAATTTTTTTTTTATTTTTTAGACAAAAAATTAAGAATTGTAAAAATTATTTACTATTATACATAAAAAATAAAAATATTATTATATATAAGATAAATTTATTTATTATATGTATGTATATATAATAAAAATTATTTATTTAATACTAGGCTCGTGAGACTCACAAGCCAAGCTAAAGTGGGCTCGAGCTTGGTTCAATTAGCAAACGAGCCTATATATCGGGCTCGAATTCGACTCGAAGCTCAGTTTAAACCGAGCCGAGCTCGAATAGCTCGTGAAAGGCTCGGCTTGTGGCCACCCCTACAAGGAATTCAGTAAATTCAGGATCCATCTATCTTCCCAAACCTTGACCTTATCCCCTTTTCCAATCCTCCAGATGCAGTGCTGTTTCGGAACATCCCTTCCCCACAGCAAACTGTGCCAAGCCCAAGAAGCCTTGTGCCCCAATCTGGTCTCCCAGAAAAGAAGAATGCAGGAAGATAATATGAAAAGATTTTGGAATTGCAAAAACAATTGAAAAGATGCAGAATTTCTTGTGGGAGGGGTGGAGGGAGGAGCTTAAATTTCAGTTAGTTAAGTAGAAAAGAGTTTATACTCCAAGGAAGGATGGGGGGCCTGGAATTAGAAGTCTGTGGGATGCCAATATGGCTCTCTTAGGGAAGTGGCCCATGCTGAGAGCATTTTAAGAAAGTGAGAAGAGCAAGAGAGAAGAAAGTGAGAAGAAGATTATAGTTGGGGGAGGAGGGGTCAGGGGAGGCTTGGGATGAAGGAGTTGAAGGAGATGGACAAGAAGAAATGCTCGATAAGGAATTTTAATCTGTTTGGTCTCAGGGTGGCTCTCAACTATTTACCTATATTTGTGATCTTGGTGTTTTTTTTTTGTTGTTTGTTTTGTTCTGTAGATGGATGGGTGTAATCTTAACACCCTGTTAGTTGTCTGTACCCGAGCCTTTTCTTTTAATAAATTTTTTATTTTTATTCTTCAAAAAAAAAGAGAATTTTAGGTTACTACCTCTTCATATTTGAAATAGCAGTGAGCTGGTGAGGAAGGAGCTTCTGTAAGCCAAGGTTACAGTAGAAGACCACTGACCTGTTCAATTGACCCATCATCTCCTAAGCAATTCAGCAATTCCTAATTGTCATTTGCCTATGGAGGCCAAACCAAATAGGTACCATGTAGATGTTACCTTGGCTATACTAGGTTTAATGATGCTTATATCATGAATTATTGAGAGTTTTTTCTTTTTTTTTTATAGATAATTTTTAAGAGGTTTGCAAATCAATTGCTTAGTTGAATTTCTGGAAAAAGATTACTTCACTCAATAAAGCCTCATAGTAACTACTTTTCCATTACCAAGGGTCATATGTTTTATTTGATGGAATTTGATTTAAGTGACAATTAACTTTATATGCACCTAAGTTCTTTATTTTACTTTGTCTTTACTAGCTGAAAATTTTCTACCTATTTATCTTCCTTCAAAGGTACTCCTTGCTTTGTCTAGTTCTAATGATCATCATAATATTTCTTATTTCACTTTTCTTTCCCCAGATTCTATAAATCACTTCCATCTGTGAGCAAGGCTTATGGGACTCTTTGTTTATTGGCTACAACAGCATTTCATTTGGGACTTTATCATCCTGCAAATATTGCACTAATATATCAACTAGTACTCTTTCGTTTTCAGGTATGTTATTCTGTTTGTTGATCTTCTGCCATTTATTGAAACATTCAACCTTAAAATCCGATTCATTTTGCACTCTGTTTTGGCACCTGCAATGCAATTATTAACTAGATCTGATAGATGGTTCAACCGTTTGAATCATCATCCACTGGCTTACTGTGAACTATTTGACGATACTACTAGAACCACCATCACATATCATGGTAATGATAATACTAGTAATACCAATAACAAGTAATCTTACTAGTATGGTATTACAAGATCATTAACACGTATCCCATGCATCTGTCATTTGGATATGTATTGTCATTTTTTTTTGGTTACATATCAAGATTTACAATCTTAAGCCTTTCCTCAATTCTAGACAGATGACCATCACTGACAGATGTAAAGGAGGGGGCTTTGTCGCATAAATGAATAACCAGCTCTTACTGGTTCTTTTTTTTTATCATAACACAGAATTGATTTCATTAATAAAAAACAGGCATGAATACAACAAGAGGTTGTGAAAAAAGAAAAAGCACAGCTATAGAAATCTTACTCAACCCAGATATTACAATTGAGTTCTTTGTACCCCTTGCTTAGCTAGACCATCTGCCAAGCTGTTGGCAGTTCTCACCCACTTAACTCTGGTTGGAAGTTCTTTGTACCCCTGGTTCTTATTGGCTTTGAAAAATAGAAGGAATAAAAAGTTGATTGATAATTACAACCCTGGTAGCACTGCTTATTGGGATTTGAAAACACAATAGGAAGGCTTTAACAGAAAATAAAATGGTGTTGTGTAGCTAGAAAGCTAAATAAAGAGAAAATTAAGCATGGTAAGAAAGTGCTGGATATAGAATATTTATAAGATTCTCTTGTTAGATGTAATAAGTTCTATTCAGTGGAGTTGCGTTGGTTAGGGTTGAATTGAACACACAGATAATGTGCACACAAGCATGTGGTCAACTTTTTATGACATTACGAGTAACAAAATTAATTGATTTAGAAAAATGAATGAATTATATACAAGTGTCAAACCTCCCTTAGCTTGATGCAGGCAAATCATCTTATCAATAAATTTGGAAATAAATTAGGAGGGGAGATGGGAAAATGGAGGACAGTAGGTATTGATCAAAAAAAAAATGGAGGACAGTAGGGACGATTTTGAACCAGTTGGCAAATGGAGGAAGACTGTGAAAGTGGAAGCCAAAAACTTCTTGTTCGAAGAGCTGAAGGTGAGAAACCAGACCAGCTTGTAGGTGAGAGAAGAGAAGAAAGCGATGGTTTATCTGAATCTGATTCCATAGTTTTGTTAAAAGGATTCCTGGACATGGCAATGGTCTCAAAGAAAGTACACAACTGGAGTAATACTCTAAAGATTAGTGAAAAGATTTTTAAAGTGGAGTTGTGTTTTAACTCCAAAGAGAGGTTCATTATGCTAACTGAGTGGTTTGGTCAAGGAAGAAAACAGTTAATGTGTATTCCAATGGGTAAACAAAGTGTAGGACGACATCCTTCGCAGAGGTGCTATAAGAATTTCTGTGGAGAGACGTTAAATGGAAAGACTGGTGAAGGAACTAAATCTGCCAAAAGAAAAAGTCATGGAAAAGGGGGCTGATGCTAAATAAAATCTGTTGGAGTGGTGAAAAAAGTTTGTGGTTTATGCCAATAAAAAGAAAATAAACTGGAAAAAAGTCGCAGAAGACATTAAAAGAAGACTCTGCCATGAAGGTGTAATGAATCTAATCCCATTCAAGGAAGATAAAGCCCTTCTGGAGATAGAAAGACTAGAGGAGATCCATTCTCTTCCAATACAATCAACAGAAGGCTTGGTGGTCGTTGGACATTGGAACCCTAGTGCAAACATAATCGAACCAGAAGGAACCCCTTGGGTGAAGGTGTTAGGGCTTCTGTTTCATCTGTGGTTGTCTGGTACTTTTAAAAAATGTAGAGGAACCATTAAGAAGCTGGATTTTTTTTTTGAAGAGTAAAATGAAAATTTTATTAAATAAAAAAGAGAAAGATACAGTCAAGTAGGTGACAAGGTGACACCTATCTTGCAAAACGAAACAGCTCTAAACTAAACAGCATATACTGATACAAAACTGAGACAAACTACACTGATTGAATTTCAAGTACTTTTCAGAAATTCTCCCCCAAATCTGACCTACTAACTTGATCAAAATCTGGAAGCATCCAGACCCAATCTGCTACTAGATTCCCCACCAGAGCCACCAGAGTTTCAGAATTTTTTTATTTATCTTCAAAAATCCTTATGTTTCATTCCATAGAGTCCAGCTTACGGCAAAGGGAATGCAGCTCCAAACTATCCTTGCTTTCCTGCTTCCCCCAAGTCTTGGCCAAGAAGAGAAAATTTCTTCTGTTGAACTTGGCTGAAATACTCCTTGCCCAAAGAGGGAGGAATAGAATTTCCAAATGATGTTTGCTGCCTTAGACTTGAGTGTGGTAACCATCACATTTTTTTTTTATTGGAAACGGTAACTTCATTAATACAACTTAAGAATAACTTTCCAGAGTTAAGTACAGCTTTCAACCCCTAAACAGGTGTTGAGCCTCCAGGGATCTTTCTTACAAAACTGCCCACAACATTCTCTCCCTCACAGTCTCTTGTTTAGCCAACGTGTCAGCTAAACCATTAGCTGATCTCCTTGTCCATTTGAAGCGTGCACCGATCTCCCTTGTTGTGTTGAGGATTTCCCTTATGGGCTGTCTATAAATCCAGGCTCCCAACTTACCAGATGCCACTCAATCAATAAATTAGAGTCTCCCTCTATCTCAATTTGGTGTAACCCCAATTGTTTGGCATATCTTACACCTTGAAGCAAGGCCACCACCTCCACTCTCAATGAGTCCCCCCACTCCTATTGGTCCTAAAAATGTAGCCACAATTCTGCCATTTTCATCTCTAAATACTCCTATTGGTAACCATCACTTTAGAGGGAGTAAAGCCTGAAGCATTACTTGTTTGGTGAACGTGGCACTCAAAGAAACATCTCACAAGGTCTATCCTTTCACCATTGGAAGCCCAGATGTGGAAGGGTTTGCCAAAGGTAGAAGAAGATGATGATGTGGCAAAGTTGAGGAGACATGGCAAGCTGAAACTGTATGAAGAAAGGATTTCAAATTTAAGGAAGGAAACCCAACCATTCCTTTGAAGAGTAAATGTGAGCCATATTTAGTGAAAGAAAGCTTGTAGGTTACTATTTCGTCCAGTAAATATGGGCCATCCAATTTACTTCTAAGAACTAAATATAAGTCCTTAACTTAAGCTTTGTTTGGAGAAAAAATGAAACTCCCATGGAATTTGAAAAGGAGCCATTTACCAAATTGTTGGGTGAATCGATGGCTTCGACTAGGTTAGTTAATGCATGTGCCAGGGCCAGACTGAGCTTTAGGGGATGGGAATAATGACTAACCATCTTCTTTGTTGATTCTCAAAACAGGACCCAAAATTTCTATGGCAAAACAGGGAGTCAATAATCCTTCCCTCTTTGTTGGAGGGTCAACAAGGGGACGTTTGAATCTAGAGAATACATGGGCGTGGAGGCCGGTGTTTGGCTCAAAACACTACGACTCGGAATAAGCCTAACCCAAAATTTTTCAGGCATCCTAGAGAAGATTCAAAGTGAGATAGTGATTAGGAAGACTGTTGCCAGGAGGAAGATTTTGAAGTTGACCAACCTTCAAGCATAGGAAGTGTGGACACTACCAAGGATTGTAAACATTGGGATGATGATACATTTGGTATAGAGCTTTTCTTCGAAGATTCTTTGGGAGAAACTTTTGTACTATTGAAGGAAGATGGATTGGATCTGTCTGCTTCGGATTTGGTGGAGGATTGGAGGTTTTACCTATAGATGAAAGAGAAGGTATATATTAACCAGGGGAAGCAATGGTTCGGGGTGTCCGTATGTGGGACTTGGGTTTCAACTCTAATCCTAGTAGTGAAGCACAAGAGGAACAATCCATTGAAGCCTATCAGGGTGTACCTGATAAGGATTAATTCTTGGTAGACTTTGAGCAAAAGAAGGCTTACTCCATTTTGGAGTAGGGAGTTTCTAACCCCACCCATTCCTTTTCTCTACTTGATTTATCAATCTCCCCTGAAGTTATTGCTTGCTATTGTAATGCCACAGGCCTTGGTGTTGAGTTGTTATTGAGAAATGATATTGAGGAAGAAAGGGACCAAATTTTGAACCTAATCCTAGAAAACCTTACTACTTTGGCCCTAGAAAAGACTTTTGATAAAACTAGGGTGGACATAAATGACAAATACAGGACCCTAGTCAAGAAGAGTAGTCCATCAAGAGGTAGTGGCCCCAATAGATCTAGAAAAAAGGAGTGAGGAGAAAGGAATTGGGGTAAAGGAAAGGAAAAAAGGGGAAACAAAGGTTTACAAGAGGAAAAAGGAAAACAAAAGAGAAAGAAAATTGAGGTAGAAAAGCTTAAATGCGGCATAAGTTATAAGGAGGAAAGTACGAGGAGGGAGAGAAAAAGAGGGGAGAGGTGAATTTAGGATTTTCTAGGATTTACTAGGACTTATTGAATGCTTGAAATGAAGATAATAAGTTGGAATGTAAGAGGGTTGGGCAGTGAAAAGAAGAGGAGATTAATAAGAAGTGTTCTAAGGAAAGAAAGACCAGACATGATTTTGATCCAGGAGACTAAACTAGTAGAGATAGATAGAAAATGGATCAGGAGCATTTTGGGTATCAGGGGTCTTAGTTGGTCATTGGCCCCTTCCTGGGGAGCTTCAAGGGGGATCTTAACAAAAATGGAAGAATAAGGAAATGTAGTGTGTAGAGGAACTAGTAGGCCAATTCTTAGTCTCTGTGAAAATTAAATTCTTCGGATGGGAGGAAATGGACAATAACAAATGTTTACAGTCCCAACTTGTATAGGTATTAAGCTCTTTTTTGGGAGGAATTGTTTGCTACTAGAGAACTTTGGGAGGGTCCCCGGTGTCTAGGGGTGGCTTCAATGTGATCAGGTTTTTGGGA